ACAAGATGAACATTGGTGGACCTATGTGTCCCTTTTACATAGAGTTACATTACAGCTTTTGACTTTTTTGTTAAGCCTTCTATAAAGAAAAACATCTTTCTCCAGGTCCCCCATTTTATGAAGGATGAGTAGAACACAGAGCAACTTAGAACTTGAATATCCTCTTGGATTACCAACATGGTTCTTTGAGAATTCAGTATTGAAAAGTTTCATTTTTTATTTGTGAATTCAAGTCTGCAGAAGCCATTCTCTCAAAGAGAAATCATTTCTCTGTTGAGCGAAAGACATACCTTTGGTCAAAAAGAGAGTAATGCAGTAAATTTTAATTCACATCACCTAAAACTTCACCCAGTGGGGGAGCCTTAGATATGGCACTGACTATTCATTTATTTCCTATTTTGTTCTGATGATAAAATCAGCAGTAGCCATAAGTATGGGTACTTTTGTGGATAAAGATTGTGAATCAAAAGATCATTACACAACTAAAGGTTACTGGTTAGATTATATACATTTCAAAGAAAGTAGACTTTGGGCTGGAGAGATGGCTCAGCAGTTAAGAGAACTGACTGCTCTTCCAGAGGACCTGAGTTCAATTCCCAGCACCCACATTGCAGCTCACAACTGTCTGTAACTCCAAGATCTGACACTCTCACATAGACAAACACTCAGACAAATCACCAATGTACAAAAACTAAAAATAAACTATTCAAAAAAAAAAAACGAAAGAAAGAAAGTAGACTTTAAGATGTGACCAGATGTGTCTCTGCACATCTCAAGATGTGTTGTGGAGAGCAGGATAGAACAGGCTGAACAACCCTGTTTCAAACCTGCAGCACAAACTCTTCAGAATCTGTAGCTTTTGAGTGCTGATGAGAGCACAGGTAGAAAACTGACCTAATGTCGAGAATCGTAGTGAAAGCACCAAGTTCTAAACAGCGTTTTTACATTCGTGAAAATATCCCTGAATACAGAGACAGAGGGATCCCAAACCCCAGCACTTCTGGTCCTCGCTACTTTGGAAGGCAGACCCCGAGCCAGCAATGTCTAGTACAGATCTCAGGCTCCTGGCCATTGATCTAGGTGAAGCTGGGTTGGTTTACTAGGCCTGCCCTAAGCATGAGCCTGTGGGAAGAGTGCTGGGGCCCTGCTGTGGCCACTCACAAGCAGCTCACTTCCCCTTCACCCTAGGATAATCCTTACAAAGAATGATTGGCACACTTTAGGGTATAGAGTCCCAGGCTGTTTCTTCATGGAAGATTCTAGGGGCACCCAATATTCTCTCCCCAAATGATGTACGGCTGCTGACCTTGGCATTCTGCAGGGGTGCTGAAGCAGAGGCTGGGATGTAAGCTAGGGTTTTCTTGGTTATTATTGTTTGGTTAGGTTTTTGTTGGCTTCAGTCTCAACACTTTTATTTTTACAGACATGGGCTCTCATGCTCACTTAGAATTATTTTCCTAGCTGCTTTTTCTTGCATCTGGAAATGGTGCTAAAGGCTTTGCCATTCTTCATCTTGGAATAGTCACAGGACCCCTGGCCTGCTTGAAGGCTTCAACTCAGGGCTGACCCCTGTTAATGCCTCTGTTAACTGCAGTAGGGTTCTAACATGAAGTCCTGAGCTTGAACCAGGAAGCACTAGATAGAAATGTGTCATTGGGGCCACAGAGGCCTGTAGCTCTTACCCGAGGAAGCCCACCCTCACCCCAAGAAAGGACAGAGCCTGGTGGCTTCTTCTCGGACCACAGTTGTATTGATCCAGCATATGCTGGGAATTTATCATGTTCTTTACACAGCGCTTGGAGCCAAGAATAAATGACGTCAAATACATCCAGCACGTGTTGGCACATTTAAAGGGCTGTGTGGCATGGGAAAAGCACAATGATTAATCGCTGAAAAGGTACAAGACATATCTACGGGCGTTAAGGCAGGCGTTAGGTGAGACTCACTGGGGTTAGTGACCTTTTGCCTTTGAGCCTCCAGAAAGACTCAGCAAGGTGTAACGAAAATGATGAGTAAAAGCTCCTTCGTCCCAGGAACAGAATGAGCAAAGCCCCTGACATGCGAGTGGGTGGGACACAGAGCGTGAGGGTGGATAGAGTAGGGAGAAACACAGGTCAAGCTGGGTAAACCTTTGAGGGATTTTGGTCTTTTAAATGGTACCGGGAAGCCACTAACAGGTTTTGAATCAGTAGAGACAGTACTGACAGTCACCTTTTTCCATGGGTACAGCTGTAAGCAGGGGTCTCAGGGGCTGGGCTCCTCCATAGGACCCTTTGAATAAACGGCCGAGTCAGCAGTGGCACGGGCGCATGTTAACACTCCTCACTGCGGCAGACACCACAGCAAGGAAGACAGCAAAGGGTGAAAGACCTGTTTTAGCCTCAGTGAAGAGCACCCGGTCCCCCACTGCTCTGTGGCCCGGAGAGAAGCAGCAGGGTGCATGCCAGAGAAGAGACATCCCTCATGGTGGCAGGAAGCAACGGAGGTGTGCCAGGGCACCCAAATACCCTTCCAGGTTTTACCCGCAGTGACCTAACGTCCTACCCTTAGGACCCGCCTGTTGAGGGCCCACAGCCTCTCAATACCATCCCATGAGACAGATTGAAGGTAGAAGCCTAACAGAGTGTATGTAACTCTTTCTTATCTCCGACCTGAGAACATACAGGAATTCTCCTGTCTCAGCTCCTCCTTCTCCAGAGGAGGGCCTGACTCACGGGTGAGCAGCACTCCACCCGGCTCCCAGCTCCGGGTGGATTCTGGGATTTAACCCAGGCCTGCACGCTGGCAGCACATACCTTAATTTGTTGAGCCGCTTATCCCCAGACCCAGAAGGCTACTCTAGCTCTCCTCTCCATTCAGAAGACTGAATAAAAAGGTCTCCCGGAATAGTCTTTGCAGTGGCAGAGATTTGCAGACTGTGCTGACTCCTGGCATCTGTGAACCATGAAGTTGCTCTAGACAGTGAATGGAGTGCCGTCATCTCACGATGCACAGTCACGCTGAAGGGTGTAAATAAACACCCAGGAATAACTGAACTGTCCCCCTGTGACGTCACACAACCTAGGACTAACGGAATGTTTGCCCTCCTGTGATGTCACACAGCCTAGGAATAACTGAATGTGTGCTGGTCCCCTGTGATGTCACCACACTGCAGAACTTGGCTGCTTGGCTTACTGTCCTCAGAACCTCGTCCCATTAAGAGTTATATTTTTAACAATCCCTAAAATATTCCCTATTGTTCTATTTGATAAATATCTAGAATTGGTGGAACAGCCTTGGCAAGGTCAGGCCTGGGTCTGCGTTCCTTCTAAATCTTTAATGAAAAGCTGCTTCTAGTATTCCTGTGTGCAGTTCTTCACCTGTAAAATACACAATTTCTCCCTCCTCTGGAGAGAGGCACAGTTCAGGAAGGAGGGAAGGAAGAAATAAAGAAAATAAGGAAGGGAGGGAAGGAAGGAAGGAAGGAAGGAAGGAAGGAAGGAAGGAAGGAAGGAAGGAAGGAAGGAAGGAGGGAAGGAAAGCACAGTACTTTGCGAGTCCTGTTTTAGAAAGGGAGGCCAGGGGAGGAGGGACAGGGGACATCACTGTCTTACAAATGCCCAGGAATGAGCAAACCGGCTGAGCTCTGGATGTTTCGGTGAATTGCTACAAGAAAGCAGAACTATCTTCGCAATCTGTTCCCCTTCACAGCTGAAAAACGGATACATGATTGCAGATCAACACAGGGATTCTGTGTCGATTTTGTGTGGACTCAGAATCATCCCTTTCCGGGTTGCCTTTCCAAGGCTCCAACGTTCCCTGCGCGCTTCTGATCCAGTGGCCTCTGAGCCTGACACCTCACCGATTCTGTTACAACTTTGAAACAAACTTGCTGTCTGCTTTGGACTGAAGGGTGTGCCAGAGCAGCAGCCATGCGGAAAAGAGGATGATTTTATTTTATTTTATAAATCCCGGGGGAGCCATCTGGGTTAGCTGGGAGGCAGCTGGTTCGCTTTAGGTTCCTTTCGGTTTCTCACCGTCAGGACAGGGCGCAGTGGGATGCAGGCAGGCAGGGCACCTGGCAAGGCCGCTGCTGAAGGCTGGGCTCCGGAGAGGGGCCAGCTGGCGCTGGGAGAATCCCGCTTTCCCGAACCGCAGCCCGTCCTGTAATTAGCCAAACAAGTCCGTCTAAGGCTAGGCAAATCACTGGTTTTCCACGAAATAGTTATGTTTCTGATGCCCTCGGACAGATCACCTCCAAGCCTAAAAACAGAGAGCCCCTCCGCCCCCCCCCCCCCCCGCCAAGCTGGGGGAGGGCAGAAGGTGGCGTTCTCTCTGTTACAGTGAGCGGAAAGTGGGAAGTCAAGGATGCCTGGAGCGTGGGAACGCCGAGTTCCCAACCCGGAGTCTTGGTGCGCAGAGAACTGGCTGCGCTCAAAGCGCTTTTCTCCCAAGAGGGGCTACCCACAGCTCTTCTCTTCTTCCCGAGGACCCGGCTCGGCTCCGTGGCTCTCTGCAACGCAGGGCGGCGAGAAGGCTCCCGGTTCCGCCGCGCCCGGCGTCGCCTCCCTGCCGGAGCCGGCGGCGCCTCCTCGCGTGCCAGCGCCCCGGGGTGTCTCCTTGCAGGAGCCTGCGGGGGGGGGGGGGGGGGGGGGGGGGGGGGGGGAGGGGACAGGGCGCGACGCGTGGGTCGCGTCGGTCCCAGCCCCGATGGACGGGCCGACGCTGCCTCCGGGGCGGGGACAGCTCGGGCCCCCGCGCGCACCGCGCACCGGTTGCGCCCCACGGCTCGCGGGCTCCCGGGGGATTAGCGGGTCTCGGGCCGCCGTGCCGGGGGAGAGCCGAGCGACCGTCGCCCCCGCGCCGACCCCGGGCTGCGGCAGGTGCACGTCGCTCGGATCCCCGCGTCCTCCCTCCCCGCCCGGCTGCCCGCCCGCCGCCCGGGCGCCGCGCCCGCCCCGCCTCCGTCCCCGCCCGCCCTCGGGCCGCCCCGGGCAGGGCCTGCAGCCGCCGGGCATGGGAGGGCGGCCGGCGGCGCAGGGAGGCTGATCGCGGCCCAGGGACCGCGCGGTGGCCTCCTCCCTCTGCGCGCTCCGCTCCCGGCCCCGCGCGGGGAGCTCGCTGGCCGCAGGGACTGGCCCGGCGGCGGCGGCGGGGGACCCTCGCCCCGCTGAGTTGGTGGCGCTGTCCCCGCGCGATGCGCTGAGGGCGCCCCCCGGTCCTCACCCTGGCGTCCGCCGCTGCGCCCCGAGCCGCCGACCCCATGGGCCCCTCAGGCCCCGCACGCGGCGGGCGAGCGCCGCCTTCTAGGCGGTGGCGGAGGCTGCTGCTGCTGCTGCTGCTGTCTCTGCAGGTGGCAGTGCCCGCGGGTGCGCTTGCTGAGACCCTGCTGGACGCACCCGGGGCCAGGGGTGCCAGCTCCAACCCGCCGAGCCCCGCCAGCGTGGTGGCCCCGGGGACGACGCCGTTCGAGGAAAGTCGGCTGCCCGTGTTCACCCTGGATTACCCCCACGTGCAAATCCCTTTCGAGATCACTCTGTGGATCCTACTGGCCTCATTGGCCAAGATCGGTAAGCGCACTGTCCGGGAGTGGGGGCGGGGACGGCCGGACTGGGGCTTCTGCGGTGACCCCCGCCAAGCAGGCAGCGGTCGGTCTCAGATAGTGGTCACCTCCTCCTGCCCCAAGGCAGCCGCGGGCAGATAGGTTCGCTTCCGCTGCTTGAAAGATCCCCTGTTCTTAGTGGCCTTGGAGAGCCGGGACTCGCTGCCGAATTCTGCTCTCCCGGTGGAGTTTGACAGCTCCGTGCCGGGGCCGAGGGAGACCTGCGCGCTGAGAGAGGAGTGGGCAGGCTGAGCTGTGGAGAGGGACGCGGGGCGGGAGAGGGCGCCTCGGCTGCACCAGACCCTCCCCAGGCCCCCGACCGAGGAAGCCTGGGACTAGGCTCCTGCACACCTGGGCCCTTGCATCTGTAATGCCAGGATTCGGTCCTTCTCTCTGGCCTGTCACTCACCGGGAAGCCTTTTCCTTAGAGCTAACTGAAGCCAGTGAGAACGGATATTCACAAATAATTCACCTACTCGCTCCACCATCCCCAGTTCTGACATCAAACGAGAGAAGAAAATCACCCCAGCGCCCGTTTTCTCATGTTAACCTGCCCACTCCGTCCTAACTCTCACTCACGGTATTACTCGGTATAAAGTATAGTTAAGTACCGCTGCGCTGTTCAAGGGTTCTAAGGTTAGAAGAGCGTGGGTCCCTCCGTTTTCTGCATTCACCTTGTGGGAGGCGGGTACATCCTTGCCATCCTAGGGAAACGCGCTGATGATGCGGGAAGAGGCTCCAGCGGTTCCAGCCCAGGAAATGCCTCACCGACAGAGGAGTACAGCAAAGAACACCCAGGGGCCACATCCCAGCCAGACCATACACGCTGCCTTCAGGGATGGCTAGAGTCTGCTCAGTGGCAGCTGCTGCTCACAGCATCCTGAAGAGAAGGAGAAGCGTGAAGAGAGAAAGGGTGGTCCAAGCAGGTGGCAGAGAGGTGGTCTGTAAGAGTGCAGAACTTGCCAGCTCAGCCTGAAATTGACTTCTGAGGTGGGTTAGATGCATTATTCCATAATGGTGGTGAGCGAAGGTGTCCTGCGCTCTGGAAGGACTTTGCAGTCTGGAATTGCTGGCTCTGGCGTGACTCGCAGGCTGAGTGTTTTAATTCCATCTGAGCAACAGTGTAAGAGACATGGACCCCCCTACCAAGCAAAGAGCCACATAAACTTGTGGCCTGAGGTGCTCTCTCTTCATAAATCCCTCACAGCATCCCTACCCTGTGGGGACTGGAGGTGTGAATACTCTCACCAAAGCTGGAAAGTTCACGCTGTGAAAGACACAAGTCAGACCCAAGTCAGACAAGATGCAGACAGGTAGGCTAGCTCTGGGTTCCTCCCTCTGCCTGAGTCACAGCCTCTGGAGGGCTGCGTCTGTGTCCTCTTCCATTAAGACTTTTCTCCTCTCACACCCTCATCTGTTTTCGCTCCTGATTATTTTAATCAGATTAATTACACTAATAACAGCCGCCAGTGGGCACTTAAGTTCATTATCCCTCATTTCCACAGCCTTCATCCTGGGTAGATATGATGGCCCTGCTTTGGAGAGGAGGACGCTGAGACATCAGGAAGCTTCACTGGTGGGCGGAGACACCAAATCCAGGCTGGAGGGCCTGGTGCCTGGTCTTTGGTCCTCCCTGGAGGCTTCTTCTGGAGTGGGGATGAGAGGACTCGCCTATTATTCTTACCGGAGAGGCAGGTGGTGATGGTGGTGATGGTGATGATGGTGGTGATGGTGGTGACCGCGAAGTCCTGAGAGCCACTGCAGCAGCTGTGATGCTCCTGGCCGTCAGTTGCTTTTCCACTGTCTTCTGCCGCCTCTGCCTCTGTCACAGCCCAGGGCTCACACTTTCTCAGGGTGGAGGCACTCTCTCACCCCAGCTGTGGTATTCCATCCATCTTAATGAACATGGTCATCTTCACTGTGCGGTATTTGGTTAAAGAGTATCCATGCTTGTGTGTGTGTCAGAGTTCACAGGCACTTTTATGTGTCTGTCAACCATGTTCTCAGCCCGGCGCTCTGACTTCCCTGCCCTCTTCTGTTTCTCTTCCTGCCCCCACAGAGCTGTAGCCACATGAAGTGCATCATGCAGTGCAGGTTTGTTCTCCGTGGGTTTCCTTGGTTCTGTGCTTCTCTGGCCACTGGGGCCGAGAGGACAGCACAGGTGTTCTTGTCTCCTCCTCAGAGCGAGGTCCAGGCGGCCCGGTGCTGCCTTCCTGATGTAGAGGGGATGAAACAGATCTAAGGACAGAAATCGGAGTTTTCAAGTTAAGAAAGCTGCTGGCTGGAGTCATTTGCTCTTTCATCCTCTTTTATAGCCCAGACCTCCCTTGCCTGTTTGGCAGCTTCTGGGGGGATGTCCCCCCAGATAGACTCAAGTCTGCCTCTCAGGTGCTTCCAACTCGTTCTCCAGCACCCCCACTCCGCAGACCCTCACTCTCTTTGGCTCTGAGCAAGACTGCCCTCGACTGCGGAGCACTTTCTCGGGCGGGAAAGTAAGTTCTGAAAGAGAAACTGTGGCGCTCCGTGTTAGCTGTTTACATTTCATGCATTTAATGTAGTCTATGCACTGGCCTATCAGCAGAAGTGTCTGTGCAGAATCAAGACCAGAGAAACATTGACTTTGTGTCTTCACAGCCTTTCGAATGTCAGTTCTAACCAGATAGAAGGTCATGAAGTTGTCCAGACTTCCGGTGTGGTGAATGTCAGTGTGGGATATTTTTATTTATGGGCAGGGTGTTTTAAATACATAGTAAAGTTTATTAGGAAGTGAAAGAAGTTTTCTTTCAGCATTTGTTTGGTGGGGCTGGTGGTTAATGAACATAGACAGTCAAGCTGCTCACATTTGGGAAAGATGGCGGGTTCAGCACACGTGGCCATATGCAGTCGGGAGGTGACACAGCTGTCAACTCATATAGGAACTGTGGTTTCTGTTTGGGGCATCTTAATGGAAGTACACGGTGTGCCAGAGCTCACGGGCTGCAGGGAACAGGGAGAAACACCACTGGTGGTCCATCTAAACGGGGAGGAACAGGCCGAGCCTACCGATGTCAGTAGGAGTGTAAGCACTGCTGGTGGACCTGCAGGGGCTAGGGAGACCGCGCTGCTCTGGGACTTGGAAGTAGTCTAAGAAAGCAAAGCACATTCGTTTGCTTTGTAAACAAACAAACAAACAAACATAATTTAATTTATCTTATCATTGCCTTATCTAGTTATTGGGGGGAAATCAACTTCCCAACTATTTGGTTAGCATTGCAGTTCTGTGATTATAAGATTGCCTTTCTTACGGCCCTCGTGTGTACTAGACTCTCACGGTGCTTGCATTTCTGGCAATACGTTGATTTCTTTTCTGTTTTGTTGTTTTTGTTGTTTATTTGTCCTGCAACCCACACACTTTACCTGATGAATCCTGTGTGCAAGGATCGGGTTCTAAGCTGACAGTAAGAGAAATGGAGGGGAAGACTCTGGGCAGTTTCCTGTCGTGCTTGACAGCCGTCTGCTTTGCTTTCTCTCGTTAGCTGGACTACTGGGGGCCGTGCATGCTCTGAGTGCGTGTGGCTGTATTTCCACCTCTGCACAAGGCTCGGGGACCGAACCTGGGTCTCAGCTTTAAATAACTCAGCCCTCTTCTTTGGTCAGGCTTCCCTGTAGGCTCCTTTACAGCTTTAGGGTCTTGCAGAGGCTGGTTTGTTTGTTCTTCCTGCCTGTGGGTCATTGGTTATTCTTGACCCCACAACTTGGGGCTAGTACACAGCATTTTCTACTTCTCTCCATCTCACTCTCTGGAAAATGAGGTTAATTATTATTATTATTATTATTATTATTTCATAGAAAGGCAAAACATTTAGCCCATGAACATGTGTGTTCTGGGCTTCAGGCTGCCTTGAGTTTAGAATATGAGGCTCAAAGGTTGTGCCTCTGAAAAAATGTCTCCTTGCATTTGCCTTATGCTTTGTGGAGTTTGTTCAAAGCTTATGTACCCCCGGGAAGGGGGTCACAGGATGAAGCTCATGCTCTCTGCATCTCATTTTGTACATACCATGTGCCTGCTGGTATGTGCTCTGACCCAGCAAAGCCACAGAACAGTTCAGATTCACTTTTCTTCAAAGCACCATCTGTGCTCAGGGTTGCCCGTACATTTCGGCCTGAAAAAGGAAAGCAGCAGCTTTTTCATTACTTCCTAAAGGCTAATTCAGGCATCATAAAGAATGGCATCAGGACAGCACACTGCAATGTTTTATTTTTAAAGTAACAACAGGTTGTGTTATCCAATTAAAAATCAACTTTAACCAGGATAACATTTTCTTTTCTTTTCCTTGAAGCCCCCAAAAGTGTAACACACACACACACACACACACACACACGTTTTCTTTGTAAAGCTTACTATACTGGTAGATTTTGGATGATGATTCAGTTATTTGAATATTTACAGTCATAGTGCTATTCGGTTTATCTGTATATTTTTGAGACACTTTTTGTCATTTTTATGTCATTTGAACTTTTACATTTGAAAAGAACATTTTTTTAAAAAAAGATCTTGGAGCTCTCCTTCTGTATTCATGTTCTCCTTTTCTCCCTAATAGTTGTATTCTTATCTTTCTTCATCTTGATCAAAGTTATTATTTCTTCTTGTATTTTTAAAAGATCCTTCCTGCTTATTGGGTTTCTAATTTTACAGTTTTTGCTCATGCTTTTGTGGCTTTCTCACTCCTATTTTCTTTGGCTTATTAATGATGACTAAATAAGCCATTAAACTGAAAGCTTAGATAATCAATTGTTGAGTTTTTTTTTCAACACTATGTCAGTTTTCACCACACAAGGGTGACTATTTTCCCCAAACCATTGATAATGGGAAACACAATTACTGTTGTTTTAAATATGTATCAAATACATATATTTTGTGATTATCTGAGCTCCCAAATTAGTATGTACTTGTGCTATAATGACCCAATAAAATGGGCAAAATAAGTT